ATACAGATTTGTTATTACGAAAACTTGCGGTTTACAAATGTGATGATTTGACATTATCCTGGTTTAAGTCATACCTGCAAGAAAGAGACCAATGTGTGCACTTTAAAGGATCTTTGTCATCTAAGAAATCTTCTCTGTATGGTGTCCCCCAAGGAAGTATTCTAGGACCTTTATTGTTTATAATGTTTATCAATGATCTTCCATTATATGCCAATTCCAACACAGACATGTATGCTGATGATTCGACAATCCATACAAGTGCTAGAACAGTTGAGGAACTCAATAATAAATTAACTGAGGATATGACAAACGTTCAAGCTTGGTGTACTGACAACAACATGGTAATAAATGACGGTAAAACGAAGGCAATGATGATAACAACATCTCAGCGCGCAGCCACATTAAATTCAAATCTACGAGTAGAATTTACCGGTGTCCAGTTAAAGAATACCAACAATGAGAAAATACTTGGGGTTGTTATGAATGAACATCTTTCCTGGAAACAGCAGATTGACAAAGTAGCAAAATCTCTAATTAAAGGAATTCATCTTCTGAGACAGATCAAAGAATATTTGCCTATTGGTCACCGAGTAATTTACTACAAGTGTTTCTTATAACCTCATGTAGATTATTGCTGTACAGTTTGGGGACAATCATGTCATATTATTCGCATACATAAACTCCAAAAGTTAGCTCTGAGAATTATTTACGACAAACCGAAGCTAACCTCTTCTGGGCCACTATTTAAAGCTGCTGGAGTCCTGCCTATACAGCAAAGAGTTTGCTGATTGGTCAAAAATTTATCGTTATCGTCCAACTGAAAAAAAAATCGCTCAGGTGAGCGATTTTAAAATCGTTATCGTTATCGTCTAACGATAATTTTATCATTTTCGTTGTTGTGTGGACACTAACACAATTTTTTTGCCAATTATCGCGTGTTTACAATTTATCGTATCGTTATCGTTGTGTAGTGTGACCGGGCCTTAATGCTACGAACAGCAATAATGGTATATAAATCATTAAACAACTGGGTACCCAAGTACATAAGTGACTTATTTGTCTTAAAGTCATCAGTGACAAAACGAATTACAAGAAGCGCGGAGAACAACGAACTGTGGATACCGCGAACGAAACTAACAATTAGGCAGAAAACGTTGAAATTCAGTGGTGCAACATTATATAACAGTTTACCACGTGCGACCAGACAATCAACGTCATTAAGCTCCTTTATAATAAGAGCCTATAAATACTTTTTAGATACTTATATATAAGTTATTTGTTTGTACGATTTTTATATGTTCTTGTTGTACTGATGTCCAATTTAATGTGTAGTTTTAATAGTAAATTTGTAATAAGTAGACGATAACAGTTGAACAGAAGGCCCAGTGTAAGATTAGCGTTGCTAAACTGGTTTTTGTATAATTGCACCTTCTTTAAATAAAGTTTATTATTATTATTATTATTATTATTATTGTTTCAGCTCGAATCTGAAACTGAATCTGAATCTACATGAAATTTGAATCTTAACGAAAAATATCCGGGGGCGGCTGACATCCTATCGTCCTTCCATAGCACGATTCCAAACCCTTTTCTGCGAAAAGCAGAGGGCCGTTTCTGAGCATATCAACATTTCGTCATAACTCCTAGTCAGCTAGTGAACATTTGTTGTGAAGACAAATTATACTTGGTCAGTATATCAGTCTAAACGAACTTTTGGGAAAGTATTAATGCCCGCCCGGATTTTTGAATTCAACACAGGTTGTGTTTTGCGAATTTTCCTGCTCAAACAACAAGTTGTTCGACGATAAAATATGCGTCATAGGATTCTATGATAGTCGTAGATGAATGTCTTTTGCAAAAATTACATGGCAATTGGTCGTCGCCGGGTGGTAATGCAAAAAAGTTTACGTGCCTCAATTCGGACTTAACTATTACTTGGTATGCCAGAAAACAAAATACACTTGTGCTTCACGGCGATGCAAGTTTGGCTCTAGCAAATACGTTGATTACAGTGTGTGGGGCACCAACTACATCAAATGAGTTTACGGCGAAACCGAATGCAGTTGAGGATGGCGAATTATCGGATAATATTTGTATGCCGACAATAAGTAGTGTCATAGAGCAAAGGCATAACAACAATACTAACGCGGTTACTGCTGACTCGATTGTTGATATGACTACAGAAATACCTAATCAGTCTTTCAAGAGTGATGTACATTCAGAAAAGCTTAAGGTCAGATCAAATTCACTCCCTTGTAATGTAGTGCATGATTTCGAGCACGGTTGTCAATGCAGGCTGCTAGCAGCAGACCTTGAAGAGGTTAAGCTTGATATGGTGATCATGCAAAGAAATATGGAGTCTAAGATTTTTGCAATCGAAAAGTCGCGGGAGAGCGAAGAAATTAACCAACTTCAAAAGGAACTATCTAATGAAAGGGAAAAATGTAAAAACCTTGAAGCTGATATATCAATTTTAATCCGAGGAAGAAATAAAGAAGTAAACGAATTAAATAACACCATTGTCTCTCTTGAAAATAGACTTAAGTCAAGTGAGGCGATGAATGAATCTTTGAGACAATCGATTATGCAAATGAAAAATCACGCTATAATTGATGAAACAAGCATAACATCAATAGTCCATAGCATTGATAATCCCCTTGGGAGCTCAAGTTTCTCTGGTGTATTTAATTCGGACGATCAGCCAGACGACCTTCCGTTATGCATTAAAAATTTCACTACAATTGATGAAGCCAGCATAACACCAGAGGCTCACTGTATTGATAACACCCTTGGGAGCCAGTCAGACGACTTTCTGTCAGGCTTTGAAAATTTCACTGTAGCTGATGGGGTTAACATAGCCATTGACCGAACGGATAGTTCGCTGAATACATCCTCATCGTTCAAGAAACAGCTAAAGAAATACCGAGAGAAACAGTCTCTTGCGTTTCCCAATAGATCACACAATTGGATGAAACCTGTCCCTACAAACCCCCAAACAACAGAATTAAATACTTTCAATACAAACAAGAGAAACCAGCATTTATCAAGGAATACAGTCCGTAGTCGCAAAAACTTCAAAAGTAAACAAACTAAACCGAAGCGGAATTTTCGGAAGAAACTGTCTCTAGATCGACCTCCGGACTGGGAGAATTACCTAGACCTAGTCAGCAAAATTACGAGAACATAATTAATGCGGCTAACACGAACTTAAATGGTTCCAATTGTATGTCTCAGTCAGCTTGTCGTAGTAATAAAATTCCTGTGAGAAATACAAGACGAAAAAAACATGCTCGTATGATACCTCATCAGCGTGATCGTGTTCTGAAATCTGTACAAATCGATAAAACAGCTTTAAATTTACCACGTATAATTCCGCATTGTCTAGTGTTAAATGCTAGATCCCTAGTAAAACCTGATGCCCTTCCCGCTTTGTATGCGGATCTGAAGTGTAATGACATTGACATATGCTGTATCTCTGAAACATGGCTGAAACCAATTATACCTGATCATCTTGTCTGTCCCGCTGGCTTTTCTATCATAAGAACAGACAGAACAAACTGTCGAGGGGGCGGTGTGGCGACTATTTGTAGAAATGATTGGAAAATGCAGATAATGCCAAACTCGGACAATTTGTTTGAATGTCTATGGACAAAAATTGACACACAAAACTCGAATGTCTATGTTGGAACTATATACAACCCTCCTGATCACGATTATAATGAGAATGACCTAATTGAATATTTGAATAGACACATGCGAACAAATACTGTCTGTTAAACCAAACTCCAGAATAATCATTGCGGGTGATATCAATAAATTAAATATTCGAAATCTGCTCAATCAGCTGTCGCTCATCCAACTTGTTAAAGTCCCCACAAGGGGTCAAAATATACTTGATGTCTTCATTACGAACGCTCCTCACGATTGGAAAAAAGTTAAAGTAGTGAAAAGCTTAGTAAAATCTGATCATGATATGGTAATAACCTATCCCCGAGATGTAATTAAAGCAGAAAGAAAAAATTCCTATTTTAGAGATGTAAGACAACATAAGAAAATAAATATGTTATATGAATTAGGAACTGTAGACTGGAATATGATAACCAAGGATGGGCAAACTCCAGATGAAATGACGCTGAAATTTTATGAAACGATGTGGCCGATATTTGAAAAGTGTTTCCCACTAATTAAGGTTAGAACCTCTTCACGTGACCCACCGTTTATGTCACCCCTTGTAAAGCATTTGCTAAAGCAAAGGAAAAGAGCTATACAGAAGAGCGATTCCAAATCTCACGCTCGTTTACAAGACCAGATAAACAAGCTAATTCGAGAGAACCAGTTAAATGCCGTCAAACAAGAGAACAAAAATCAGAAAACCGGATCAAAACAGTGGTGGTCCAATGTGAACAGTATTACAGGAAGAAATAATCGGAGTCGATCTGTCAGTGCAGCCTTTGATCCTAGTGAGATAAATGTATACTTTCAAAGTATAAACTCGGATCCTCAGTACGCGGCTCCAGAACCTGTCGAGATCCCTGATGGCACCAGGGTTCCTTCGCTCTCTATAAATACTACTCTACACCTTTTACAAAATCTAAAACGAACAGCATCCGGGCCAGATGATCTACCTTACTGGTTTTGGAAGGAATTTGCATTTGAGCTTGCTCCTACCATAACAAATATATTTAACACTTCATTGAAACTTAGCAAAGTTCCTAAAATGTGGAAACACGCAAATGTACTACCAATACCTAAAGAATCTATCTTAAACTCTCTTAATCAACTAAGACCAATCTCTTTAACAGATATTATAATGAGATTATTTGAAAGAAGTGTGTTCAAAACTGAGATAGCACATGTTACAAGACACGCTATTGATTCAGATCAGTTTGCATACAAGGAAGGTCACAATTCGATTATGGCTCTGATCAAGTGCCAACACACATGGTTAAGATGGTTAGGAGATGCAAAATATGTCAGAGTATTATCTTTTGACTTTCGCAAAGCATTCGATAGCGTTCCACACGATATTTTATGTGAGAAGCTTAAGAAGCTCCCCATCAACCCATATGTTACTAATTGGCTGATTAGTTTTTTGGAGGATAGGAAACAGAGGGTAGTGGTTGATGGAATAGAAACTGAATACTTGAACATTAATCGAGGTGTTCCCCAAGGAACAGTTCTGGGTCCTGTCCTCTTTTCGATCATGGTGAATGACATCAAAACAGTTAACCCCATAAACCAGTTAGTTAAGTTCGCGGATGACATGCATAGATATCTTATATACACTAGATAGCGCATCTCTTTTAGTAAAATTGAAGCCAAAAATATTCCAGCGGTTACTCCCATTTGAATAGATGGCGGCCATGTTGGTCGTTCCCACTTGCTAATAAACGCTTAAAAACAACAGTAACTTTCATCATTTGAATAGTTTAAAAACGTATTTGGAATAGGGTTAACTTAATGTTTAAGTTCCCTGTTTAAGAAATAGAAAACATACGAATCTTCTCATTTCATGGGAACGACCTGAGACTGCAATCACGGCTTCAATTTTTGAATTGCAGAATAATTAGATGCACTATCTAGTGTATATAAGATATCTATGATGACATGACATTAGAAGTACCAGGGAATGAAAACGGAGATACATCCCAAGCCGAAGTGGACAGTATACAAACATGGTCTGAAAATAATCGAATGTCCTTAAATATGGAAAAGACGTATGAAATGATTGTTAGGAGAAATATCCCTACGCTGTTGCCTGATCCTTTTCCATTTATTAAACGAAGGACGTGGTTAAAGATTTTAGGAATTACATTACATGATCTCCCTTCCAAGTGGGATTTGCATTTTGATGAAATGTTGAAAAAAGCCAGTGCAAGAATGTACATAATGCGTGTCTGTAAATACTATGGCTTCCCAATCAAACAACTGGACATGCTGTTTAACACTTTAATTATGCCTATAATCACTTACGGCATAGAACTTTGGGGAGGCGCATACTTCAATAAATACATTAGTCAAATAGACAAATTCATCAATCGCGCTCACAGAAATGGTTACATATCGGAAAAATTGAATATTAAGGAGATAAGCATCAAAAGGGACAAGAAACTTTGGGATAAAGTAATACATAATAAAGATAATGCACTACAGGAGCTTTTACCAGGTAAATTAAATAGACACCTTAGGCCAAGGGGACACGAGTTTGAACTTCCATTAGTGAGAACAGAGCGATTTAAAAGTTCTTTTGCAAATCGATGTTTGTTTAACTTTGTTTAACCAATTTTAACCTTTACCTTTTTAACATTATTAATATTTTTATCCATAACTGTATATATCTAGTTATTACCTTATAGATATCAATAATTGCTGCCGCAGCGAGCGAGCCTGAAGCGAGCGAGCAAGGCAGCAGATCCTAATTTTGTTTTGTGGGTCGAAATCAAAATTTTCTATTTGGCGCATTGCATGACGGTACCAGTGAATTTTAACCGTGGTGCAACGCGGCCAAGCATAGCAAACAGGCAATGTGATCATCTTTCATCTTTGGTCTTCTTTTATTGAAAGCCATAACTGGCTTAAAGTGATCAAACGGCATTTTGTTGGGTGCTTTTAGCATTATACGGCGGTGCTTTCGCCATTATACGCGGTGGTTCCCGCATTATACGCTGTGGTTCCAGCATTATACGCGGTGCTTTCACCATTTATATACGCGGTGCTTTTGCAATTATACGCAGTGGTTCGAGCACTATGCGGTGCTTTTAACATTATACACGATGCTAGCTTTCATTCAACATGATTTCCATATTCTTTCCATGACATGTATATGATTTAACGATTGCTTAAATTTGGTATGTGGTTGACAGATGCTTTTGGGCTATGGTCCGCAAAGACAATGACATGCTATTCTGTGTATATAAATGAATATAACGCAGCGAATGCGCCAAGCAGTATAAACGCGCGGCTGAAAAACGATATTAAAATCTTGAATGTGCCGTATGATTTAATTATGTTTTAGGATTTACAAATGCTTTGTCATTTGTATTTATACTTGTACTGCATCACAAGGCAGTACGTACTGTAAGTGAAAAACCTCCACATGTGAGATTGTCTTGTATATATTTTTGCTTTCTTTGATAAACACTATTAAACACGCAAATTTTAATTAGTGAGACGCAATGTTAAATGTCACCTGCATGTCATTGTCATTGCCCTTTAACCCCTGGTCTAATTGGCCGCTTTTGAAAATATTGATCAGGACGGATGACATATATATATCGTTATATATAGTCTGCGCGCAGGGTAGTTAGTGCCTTACGTCTTCGCTGGTTGTTATACTTCAAAATAATTTTGTATGTACCGAGAAATCAATATTCCAAGTATATAAATATATAAACTAGGATGTCACACTGATAGCTTGTTTACATTTCCTGGAGCATCATGAAATCTTATGTTTAACCACGGTGGTTTAACCCATTAGCTGGCAATGCGCCCTTCCCTTGTCGAGCGCCAGAAGATTTTACTCGTCAGTGGTATAGGGTACTGCCAGTAAATGGGTTAACAAACCTATCTGCCAATGTCTCTTGTTAATTCATCAGCACAGTAATGACCCCTACTTTAGTATTTACCCTGTCCAACGCCAGACGATTTTTAATACTCAGTCAGTGGTAGGGTACTGTCAATAAATGGGTTAAAAAGGATAACAATAATAGGATGTTTCTGAAGGACTCGTTCAACACCCTGTAGTTTGTCTTTTGCTGTCAAAGGCAGCATTACTGCCCTGTGGGTAACCTAGTTATAAATCATTAAGTTTTGATTTTCCGTTCAACCCAACAAACACGAGTCATATTCAATTCTGTATGCGGCGAGGGAATTCATGTATTTATCTTCGTTTATCGTATCAGTGTACCGTACATAGCTAGGATCGTATACCACGCGCAAAGGTTAGTTTTATGAATTTGTTATACAATGTGTATCTTAGGCCACATGTTGTTTAGAGACGAGTCTAAACAAATAAAATAAGGAAATAAGCACTTCAAATATAAGCAAGCACTTCAGTGTTTATACATGCTTCAATACATGTCATATATATAAAAATTCATTCATTCCCTCGTCTGTAACGATATATAATAAACATTGAGTAACTTATAAATTACATACTGTACATTTTTATTTGTAAATAACGGTAATATTATACTAGAAGTTCTAAACTCTTCCTTGTATATTATTGTAATTATGTTTTTGTAAATATACATATATTTTTCTAATCAACCAATCTTGTAAATAATAGGCGTACTTCAACCATTATGGTTGCAAAGTCTATATTTTATTAATAAATTCAAACCTATTCAAATATGTACGAAGTTATATACGAAAAATGAAGACAGTTTGAAAAGATATGGACTATATCGAGACGTGTGTTTAAATGGTAATATTCCTATTACATATAAATTCATTATTCTGTATATTACAGAATATATCATTATTCTGTAGTAGGGTCGAAACAGAACCATTAATTAGCGCAAATAAAGAGATACCACTAACAGCAGTTTACTATAGCGTGCTTTATGTAAAACGCAACGCGTTTTATAATCATATTGTATTTATAATTACTTCGGGTATCAAACTGCGCATATTTTCAGTTGAATATGTACGCACCAGTATCATATTATAATATCGCACTGTGAAATACGTTATCTATGGACTATAGATAGTCTGCTCATGTGTTGTTACTTAGCTATTTCACTATATAGTCGAAACTTGCTCACTACCGAATCAGTCTCATTTAACGATTCAAATAAAGTATTCATCTCACTTGAAACATTGCTATTAATAAAATTTTCACGAAGAGTATTTTTTAAGTCGTCATCCCAAATAAATGATGCAGGCAGTGTGAGCAATTGTAAAGTTTCTCCTTTATCTACTCCCAATCGAGGCTCCGCTACTAATGCAAAAGAAAGGAAGCAATGATGCGAGAATTCTGTGATATTTGACACAGTAAAATGCTTGATTGATTGCAAAATCTCTGATACCATCGTATAGTCGACCACACTAGCCCCATTATATGTGTGGCAAGTAAACTGACCTAAATAATCTCCTTTCGTAACTCATTCCCACAACATAACTCAGCTAATGATTTCCCATACGTATTAATATGAATGTCCCTTGACTTACGTGGTTCAATTGAGCTATAGTAAGAACTGTCGTTGGAAAGGTTACCCCGTCCAATTCAGGTTACCCCGTCCATGGTTGTTTACCAGTTTTAAGGGTCGATTTTTAAGCAAAATTTTAACCGTTACCATGGAAACGGTTAAGAAAATATCATTTTATACATTGTTATTCACAAAAAGTCAAATATCTCGGGAACTAAGCGGAATTTTAGCATTCTGTAAAAAGTTTATGAACAAGGAATACTTTCTCTACAATATAAATGCAATTTTCAATTTTGACCCGTATGGTCAAAAATTAGGGTAGACAATCCCCAACACATGGAACTTAGTTTTAAATACAGACAATGGATTGCAATAATTTGCACAACAGTTTAATATGCTCTTAGAATTTTATTTGTTTTATTTTTTTGGGGGGAGAGGGTGTGATTGTTTGGTTGCTTGGGAGGGACGAAACATCTCATCTTTGAGGGCCGGGAATTATTAAAATATTTCCAAACCTTTTCAGGGGCAAATTTTATGGTAGTATTTTGAAATACCCTCCACCCTCCAGTACACATACTTTATGACCGGTCCCTTAGTTATACAAGACGCCAAGTATATATGCTGGTATTTTTTCTATTACTTCGTCTGACTCCGAATTATGAATGGTGTCATCCGTCATCTTTTCGGATACGTTTCTCTGTCCACGAAATTGAATCCTGTAAGGTTTTTAATAACTTAGCTTAAAAGGATAAAATTTAGCAAACACAAAATACGTCTATAACCAAACTAAAATTATACTCATACTCACTTGTGTTAATAGGTACATGCATGACGGTCGCGATTATTGGCTGAAACATCTGTAACAGGTTCACTTCTAAGTTCACTTCTAGAGATCCCTCCGGTTGAAGTGCATCTGGTAGTTTTGGCGTATCAGCGTATACAATTTGCTTAATTGTGCTTTGCGTTCTTTATGAAAGTGTGGGCTTCTACAACGTGTTCCCCACACAGCTAACTAAAGTTGTAAGGTGCCATATAAAGTAAATTAGTATTTGTAGCATTTTGAATAAAGCATATATTTAAAGCATTTTATTTTGTGTTATTTTATTTTAGAAGCTTTATCACAACGTCAAGATTACATTACAAATAAGGAAAAATCAAGCATATAGCACTACAAATTGTGACAGAGAATCACAACAGCTTTTGACCAATTACTGCGGTTCCAAATGCATTGCCGTAAGTTCTAACCTGAATACCAGGCCTATTTTCCCGACTTGCGCTAAAAAAATAAATAACGTAAACAGTTGCTTTATAACAACAAGACGCTCTACGGAGCGTTAACTCGCTGGGGCTATACAACTACGCACATTACTGTACAATGTACATGATACATACAGTTTTAACAGCTCTTTCAATTGAGATTTAAGGTTTTCCCCGAGCTAAGCGGAAAAGTCGAATACGAGCGCGAAAGGCTTAATAACACAGTACTAAAATGCGGTAGGCCCTACAAGTAAAGTTATATTTAGTACGCTACATTCTTCTTCAAAACTGTCAGCCGCCAGTTGGTCCAGGAGTAAACTGCGCTTTAAAACGTTCAAAATAAAATATTTTGGAGCTTTTGGGCTCAAAATACTATCAAAATGAAGCGAGAAGTGAGACGAATCCACTGGTATACGGCCGAAAAAGAGAAGGTCAAACGTACTGCATTTTTTTTATAATTAGTTTAATAATATTGAGCGATTGGCAACAATACAATTTCGCTTGGCTTTCAAAGACAAAGGCCATAAATCGCTAGAACACTGTTGTTTAGTAATACTTCCAAAACTCATTAATAATTCATGAAGCAATTATCCAATATTGAGTAAGAAATTAGTCACGTGCATACGTCTTTATACCAGCTAAAGAACACTTTAACAAAAGACCATTGTTATGCAAACTATATAAAGGTTTTTATATAAAGATTTTTATATAAAGATTTTTATATAAAGATTTTTATATAAAGATTTGACCTATTATGCAAACGTTTTTGAAGCCATTTAAAAAACTCGCAGGTCGTGTTTTATTAGGTCTAAAGCCACTCGCGCTGCGCGCTCGTGCTTTAAACCTAATAAACCACTCCTGCTCGTTTATTAAACAGTACTTCAAAAACGTTTGCATAATAGGTCAAATCTTTATATAAAAATCTTTATATAAAAATCTTTATATAAAAATCTTTATATAAAAATCTTTATACAAAAATCTTTATATAAAAATCTTTATATAGTTTGCATAACAATGGTCTTTAGGTAAAGTGTTCTTTAGCTGGTATAAAGACGTATGCACGTGACTAATTTCTTACTCAATATTGGATAATTGCTTCTTGAATTATTAATGAGTTTTTGAAGCCATTTAAAAAACTCGCAGGTCGTGTTTTATTAGGTCTAAAGCCACTCGCGCTGCGCGCTCGTGACTTTAAACCTAATAAAACACTCCTGCTCGTTTTTTAAATAGTACATTTGACATTCGTAATTAGTACAATTTCTAACGCTGAATCGAACGGTGGTATTTTTATCCGATCGTGACTAAAACACCACACGAGTACATACGAGTAACATACGAGTAACACACAAGTACATACGAGTACATACGAGTAACTTACGAGTACATACGAGTAACATACGAGTATACATACGAGTAACACACGAGTAACATACAAGCACACACGAGTAACATACGAGTACACACGAGTAACATACGAGTAAATACGAGTACATACGAGTAAAATACGAGTACATACGAGTAAAATACGAGAATTAGCACGCTTTCTTTAAAGTTTCTTTCACTTTCACACTTTCACTTTGGCTTCGTATTATGTTCATGTTGTAAATGCCTTATTGACATAGGCGTACGAGACAGGGGGGGGGGGGCAACTGTCCCCAAAAATTTTGGAAAACCATGGAAATTCGGGCAAACGCTAGGAAAAATCAAGAAAATTCGAGCAGATTTATGAGAAAATATGTTAAAATCAGGTTATTTCTTTACAATTCTCCATAAAAATTCGGGCAAACTTTCAACTCCCCCCCCCCCTCCCCCCGCAGAAAACATCAGCCCCGTTCTCCTATGTGTTTTGCAAATTTAATACGTCAATTGTACACCTGTTAATACGTTTTCAACAGGGAAATATAAAATGCTTAGGGTTCATTATTTATCGGTTGGGGGGGCGGGGGCTGGTAAAATAATGGGGGGATATATTTTATGGGTGTAAAATAAAAAGAGTGGTTTAAATCTTTTGAAGAAGTGTTTTGGGGAGACAATAAAATTTTATAGCATTGATATAAAGAAGATAGTATAGAGATAGTGGCGTAGCCAGCGCAAAAGGCGTGAGCCATTTTAGGGGAGGTCTGGGGGCATGCTCCCCAGAATATTTTGAAATCTAGGCCCCTGAAATGCGATTTCCTGCATTTTCGGGGTGTGAGTTTGCATAAGTCCGAAAACTGTATAATGCATAAAAGACATGATTTTTCGTGATGGAAAATGATGGGTTAAAATAATGCGAATTACTTTTAAAACCGAATGATGATTGAAAGTAAATATATTTTACATTTAAAAACCCAAAGTAAACCCTTTCTTCTTGGGGCCATATCTACTTACTTAGACAAGATTATACACAATTATATTGTGGATTTAGATTTTATTTCGCACCCCCCCATGTTGGCTAAATCCTGTCCAGCATCCCCAAGTTGAAGGTCCTCTCTACCCCCCTGGTTGTAAAGAGCACACAAAAGAATAGGATGGGAAGAACTACCATACGGCCATACTATGTTCTTCTTAACTTTATTGTTGGAGGGGGATGAAAAATTTTCAGACTGTTCTAAAGGGGTGGACTACATTTTTAAACACATTAAAAGGGAGGGTCATTTTTATTATGCTGTTTGAATTTTAGAATCCACCAGCTCCTTCCCCCCTCCCCAACCGATAAATAATGAACCCCAAGTATTTTATATTCCCGGTGTACAATTCACGTATTAAATTTGCAAAACACATAGACTACAGACGTATAAACAACATGGCAAACATGCACTTTCATGTGCTACAAAAACTCTCTGACAGCCTGTGAGCAATATACTACATTTAAACCTTTTTAGAGTCTTAGAACATACAAATCTTTATTCTATATTAATGAATTACTTTTTCTACGTCGTGCGAGGCTTCGAAATCCATCAATACGTATAGGAGAACGGGGCTGATGTTTTCTGGGGGGGGGGGTGGCAGTTGAAAGTTTGCCTGAATTTTTGTGGAGAATTGTAAAGAAATAACCTGATTTTAACATATTTTCTCATAAATCTGCCCGAATTTTCTTGATTTTTCCTAGCGTTTGCCCGAATTTCCATGGTTTTCCAAAATTTTGGGGGCAGTTGCCCCCCCCCCCTGTCTCGTACGCCTATGTCAATAAGGCATTTACACCATGAACATAATACGAAGCCAAAGTGAAAGTGTGAAAGTGTGAAAGTGAAAGAAACTTTAAAGAAAGCGTGCTAATTCTCGTATTTTACTCGTATGTACTCGTATTGTACTCGTATTTACTCGTATGTTACTCGTGTGTACTCGTATGTTACTCGTGTGTACTTGTATGTTACTCGTGTGTTACTCGTATGTACTCGTATGTTACTCGTATGTACTCGTATGTACTCGTATGTTACTCGTATGTACTTCCCTATTTTAAATATAGCCTGTACTTGTGTGTTACTCGTATGTTACTCGTATGTACTCGTGTGGTGTTTTAGTCACGATCCTGGCAACCAGGGTGACAGAACTCGATCCGCCTAGCTCCAAAACCGCAAATGGAAACTGTTAAAATCGTATTTTGAGGTCAACTGTTACCTGTTCGAAGTTATAGAGCGACACTTATATAGGGTCACACATTCACACAAGAGGTTTTTGATAATATTTTTACTTTAGCTAAAATAAAAATATTCATAAAAACTAGCTCTTGTACATACCATGATCACCTCGATTTAAATTTTAAAGGAAAACACAAAATTATTTAACTGATGAACAGAGGTGAAAGTTTCAGACAAACAACTTATCGAAAACTTGTAGAACGTACCTTAAATGAGGGTCTAGATGGGGTGTCTGAAAATCAGTAAACAGTAAACATTTTGGTATTTTAACGGTAACAATACCGTAACATTTTGGTATTTTAATGATAAATCTTCGAAAAGTGTTCTGAAACGATAAACAGTACTTTTTTCCTCACGCTTTACAGTGAATTATTAGTGTTTTCATGACTGACGGTAACCGAATTTAAGTGAATCACGACTCACGATATACCCCGTTAATACCCTCTTAAATGCTATTTGAAGTTTGCCGTTTGCGGGGTCTGCCGCTCTGCAATAGTCGACGTTTATTTAAAAATTGAAAGTGCTATCTTTATAAGGTCAACAAATATATGCGAGAAAATTCTCCGCGGAGTTTTTAATCACCGGAAAAACATCATAAAACTGTGGCGAAACTTGACGCGAAACTGAAGGCGCGAGGAACGAAAGATTAATTAACAGAGCCGTGGCAAGGAAACCATGCAAGTTTGCCAAACAACAAACAAGGTAGTCTACGACGTCTGAACCACCTCACGAAGCGACTACACCGAGACAGCCTTTATACTACCGAGTACGATTCCATCATCCGAGAACAACTTAACCGGAGGGGTTTGTCGAGAGAGCACCGGAGGTCCCTAGGAACAAGAAATTCTACATTCCACATAAGGCTGTAGTTAAAGAGAGTGCACAGAGTACCAAAACGAGAATCGTGTATGACGCCTCTGCGAAAGCCAGATCTGATGCACCCTCCCTCAACAAGCTTGTTTGAACCCCGGACCTCCACTCCAGAACAAACATGGGACGTTTTGGTCCAACAACGAGCCTACCCGTCGTGGTAGTCGCTGACATTCAAAAGGCGTTTTTGCAGATTCCGGATCCGAGAAAACGAACGTGATTCGGCTTTGTTTCCATTGGCAGAAAGAACCACACTCAGAGATCGAAGTTCCACGTTTTACAAGAGCATTGTTTGGGCTAATCTCGTCGCCTTTTCTTCTCGCCGGAATACTTGCGTGCCATTTTGATGGGAGAAAAAATACCCAGACTTGATAAGAGATTTCAGCCGTTCCGTACGCTGGTTGTAACCAATAATCATTGGCGTTGTATAATGCCATTGTATGCAATAAAGTATTGGGTTGTAATGGTCTACAATTACAATAACCCTAATCCAAACGCTAATCCTTATCCTAACCCTAATCCTAACCATAATCCTAACCCTAACTCCTACCACAACCATAACCTCTAACCCCTAGTCCCTAACCCTAAAGTTGATGACCTTTTTTTGGTAATCTCCCCACACCAGCTCGACCAACATCCCCTTTAGGGCCATTACACTCATAACTAAAACTTTTGTCCAATGTTTGTGGTTTTGTCTGTTGAGAATTGTGGTAATATTAGTTAATTAGGATAATATATATTTAGTTATTAAGAACTGTCAATCAAATAATGCATGCGTCATAAGTTAATTAAGTAGAGTATCAAATTTATAAGTAGTGATTGGGTGATAGCGTAACTGTTGAGACTGTGATTTTAGAGCTAGTGATTTGTAAAGTGATTTAGAGAAAAACCCAAACTATTGTGACTGTGTTGGCTTAACATTCAGCCTCTAACGGCATTCCCGACACAAGTGGCACCTCCGACGGGATTATAGGTGAAAAATGGATGAGTTATTGAAGCAAATCGACAACAAACGTGAATTGGTACGAGTTACGCGTGACGCCCTCAAGCGAGCGATTGAAAATAGAAGTTTAACAAGCATCGAGCGACAAAAGGGAACTATAACTAAAACTGCGAACGAAATCTACGAGCTAAAAGTAAACGTACAAGCGATTAGAATTGGAAAGGGAGACAATGCTGAGGATATTCAAACATGGACAGAAAATGTTGATCAAGAACTTGAGATATGGGACAGAGAAATAAATGATGCAAGCAAAGCCACGACGGAATGGAAACAACAAGAGGACAAAGAAACTACCATGCGAGAACAGGAGAAGATAGCTGAAACACGACGCGAAATCCATAAGGAACAACTGGAATTTGATAAGGTACAATTCGAACAGAAATTACAACATGAAATGAAATTAGAGAAGGCACGAAAGGAACACGAGAAAGCGGCGAGTACAAATGTTAAACTACCAAAGCTTGGCATCACTAAATTCAACGGGACACCATTAGATTGGATGCGCTTCTGGAATCTATTCGAAGCCGAAATCGACCACACAGACGTGGCACCTGTATCGAAGTTCGCCTATTTAAAAGAATTAGTCTGCCCAAAAGTGAGATCGTGCATCGACGGACTACCATTTTCTACCGAAGGCTATGAGCGTGCAAAGAATATTCTCAAGACCAAGTATGGAGACAGTAGCGAGATCGTGAATGCGTATGTACAAAATATAATGTTTCTTCCAACCATACAGGGATCCAATGCCGGTAAGATTCATGATTTTTATGATAAACTGTTGTTCAATGTACAATCTTTAGAAACTTTGGGAAAGTTAAAGGAAGTAAATGGGTATGTTCGCATGTGTTTAAATAAATTAGAGGGAATACGGGGTGATTTAGTCAGAACGGACGATGATTGGCGCCAGTGGGATTTTATTAAATTGGTAGACGCGCTTAGGAAATGGACGGAGAGAAATTCTGTCAAAATGCATGTGCATGATAGATCAAGTGATAAATCGGACAGGCAATCTAATTTAAGTCGAATGAATGCATTCCAAGCACGCCAACGCGAAGCAAAACAGAGACGGTGCGTTTACTGTAATGAGATTAGCCACGCGTCAATCAATTGTCCCAAAATAGTTTCTTCTGTTGATCGGAAAAAATACCTTAGCGAAAAGCGGTTGTGTTTTAATTGTACTGGGGCCGAGCATCGTGCGTCCGATTGCCGCAGCCGATCTAGTTGTACAAAATGTAGACGTAGACACCATACATCGATTTGCGACGCCTCGAGCGAGAATATGCCTCCCGCTGAGCCCACGAATGACAGGCTATTAAATACCGCGACTAATGCAAATAGGCCTGTAGTGTATCCAGTTGTTGTCGTTGACATAAATGGGGTTAAATGTCGCGCCTTAATTGATACGGGGGCGGGAAGTTCTTATGCCTCGTCAGCACTCCTTGACACCATAAAAGCTCAACCCCAAAAGAAAGAAATCCGTTGCGTTGAAATGATGTTTGGCACTTCAACAAAAATGGTTGGAATTTATAATATAAAAATAAGCGACACGAGTAATAAATTTCATATTGAGACCGAGGTAACCCGAGTCGAGAGAAATGAACTGTTGACACTGGATAATCCAAAGTATAAAGAGATTATCGCTAATTACTCACATCTTGAAGGAGTAATTATGCCAGATAAAGACGAGAAAGAACGCCTGCCCGTGCATCTAATCCTAGGGACTGGGGACTACTCGAAGATTAAAACACCATCAAAACCAAGGGTCGGATCCCCCGGTGAGCCTGTCGCTGAGCTCACAAAATTTGGCTGGACAATCATGTCCCCCGGTGAGGAAATAAATCTGAATAACATGCTTTTAACCCAAGTACATTGCGAAGATTACGAACAGTTATGTAGATTAGATGTCCTAGGTTTACGAGATTCGGCAACAGGGGATCAGCAAAATGTTTACAGCGAGTTTAAAGAACAACTAACGAGAAGCGAGGAGGGCTGGTACGAGACAAATTTACCGTGGAAGGGAAACCACCCCCCTTTACCTAGCAACAAATCTGGTAGCTTAAAACGTCTAGATAACCTAGTCAAAAATTTAGACAAACAGAACATTATCGAACAGTATGACGAAATTATCAAAGAGCAGATCAAGGAAGGAATCGTAGAAAAGGTCGATACGGAAGCACAAGATAGAGAGTTCTACTTACCCCATAAAGCAGTGATTAGAGAATCAGCAGAAACAACGAAACTAAGGATCGTGTACGACGCATCAGCACGGGAAAACCAGAATTCCCCTTCCTTGAACGAATGTCTTGAAACCGGACCACCCCTGCAGAACCACCTTTGGCAAGTCCTGGTTCGTGGGAGATTTCATCCAGTGGCTCTAACTGGGGACCTGAAGCAAGCGTTCCTTCAGGTTCGAATACGTGAAGAAGATCGTGACGTCATGCGATTTCATTGGTTCAAGGACTTGAAGACCAAGGAAGTAGTGACACTTCGCTTCACGAGAGCCCTGTTCGGACTGTCTCCTTCCCCATTCCTACTCGGTGGTGTTATCCAACAACATCTCGAGAAACACGTAGAACAACATCCAGAAATCGTGAAAGAAATCAACAAGAGTTTGTATGTCGACGATTTGGTCAGCGGTGGAAAAACAGTCGAGAAAGCCCAGCAACTCAAAGAAACGGCCAGCGAGATCTTCAACGACGCGACATTCCAGCTCCATAAGTGGCATTCAAACGTCCCTGCCCTTGAAGACGCACAAACCCCTTTACCATCGTCCACTGGAGAGACATTCGCGAAACAGCAGCTTGGAGTCAAATCGGGCCAATCAGCACTACTCGGTCTTTCCTGGGACAAGAAAGATGACGTCATAAAAATCGAGATACCGTCCGGAAAAGCACAAGCAACCAAACGAGGAATACTTAAGCCGAGTGATGGTGGCATTCTTGAATGTCATGGCAGAATACAAGGAGCCTTCCCAACCTACCTCCCAGACAATGACATGTACACCGAGAGACTAGTGGAACATGCCCACAATGTGACCCTTCATGGGGGAGTGGGTCTGACTATGGCTAAGGTACGACAGAGCCACTGGATTCCACGACTGAGGAGACTTACTAGAAGAGTTATCAAGAACTGTTTCGGATGTAGACGGTTCCATGCAACACATTTTTCAAACCCACGACCTGGGAAATTACCGAAAGATCGGACTGAGGTTGATTTGCCTTTCCAAGTCGTAGGGGTCGACTACGCGGGTCCAATTAGGTACCAGAATCGGGGAAAGTGGAAAAAGAAAGTGGGTAAAGACGGTATTGTACGGGGAGCGAAACTGCGAGTAGGACAGAACACATTAGGACGAGCAGTTCAACATCTATACCCTATGGAACTATCCTGTGACATAGCCGTAAAGACGCCAGAGTCGAGACCAAGAGAAACAGAACTGAGAGCTGATGTACCCGAGTTCAGACCAAAGAGAAATGCTGCAACGATAGCAGAATGTCGTATTCAGGACATAGCAGGTGACGAACAGAATTAGAACGTTAATCATATATAGATACATATTCAGCCATATAGAGAACAATATATCTTGAGTAATACAATATAATTTAAGTTTTGTTAGGTTAGGTTACGAACAGTCAAATTTACACATATAGTCGAACTCAATCATTATGGACGGTGAACGAAAACGCAATTCATTCATATTCGTTTTACAGAAAACGAATAGGGGGAGTGTGTTGAGAATTGTGGTAACATTAGTTAATTAGGATAATATATATTTAGTTATTAAGAACTGTCAATCAAATAATGCATGCGTCATAAGTTAATTAAGTAGAGTATCAAATTTAATATAAGGAGTGATTAAGGGATAGCGTAACTGTTGAGACTGTGATTTTAGAGCTAGTGATTTGTAAAGTGATTTAGAGAAAAACCCAAACTATTGTGACTGTGTTGGCTTAGCATTTAGCCTCTAACGGCATTCCCGACAGCGTATATGTATCGTCACTTGAATTGCATCTTCTCCAATATTCAGTTTCCGCCAAGTGAAGAAAATCGTTCAAGCTCACCTTAGGATTGCTCTACTGTTGATACAGCTGGAAACCTGGACGTGACATTGACAGCGCAGTTTTATCATCACTCAACTATTGTAAAGAAATGACCAAAGCAGACGAGTTTGACTAATGGTCGCGGGTCGCGTGTCGCGTGTAAAAAGTCGCGTGTCGCGGGTAAAAAGTCGCGTGTCGCGGGTAGAATGTCGCGGGTAAAATGTCGCGGGTAAAAAGTCGCGGGTCGTAAAAAAGCTCCAAACCGTGTATTTTATTAAGTCGCGGGTTGAATAAAGTGTAAAAATCACGTTATCATTTAGTAAACAACTATATAGGATTGCTTCAATACGAAATATTGCCCAAGAGCCTTTTGTCATGAGTTTGACTAATGGTCGCGTGTCGCGGGTAGAATGTTGCGGGTAAAATGTCGCGGGTAAAAGTCGCGGGTCGTAAAAAAGCTCCAAACCGTGTATTTTATTGAGTCGAGCCTTTTGTCATGAGTTTGACTAATGGTCGCGTGTCGCGGGTAGAATGTCGCGGGTAAAATGTCGCGGGTAAAATATCGCGGGTCGTAAAAAAGCTCCAAACCGTGTATTTTATTGAGTCGCGGGTTGAATAAAGTGTGTAAAAATCACGTTATATTGCTTCAATACGAAATATTGCCCAAGAGCCTTTTGTCATGATTTAATGGTTCTATATTAACGTGCCAGAAGCCTAAAACTTGAAAGAATGTTAAACCAACAATTATATACCATGACAAAAATCCTCTAATCAAAAAATATGTTCTGAAAGAAACAAACAAGTCTTTGGTAGAAATAAATTCAGTTACCACTACTATTACAATCAGTTTTATACCAATTTAAAAACAACCATATAGTATCACAAATAATAGATATATCCATGCTAGGACATTATAAAAGTACAGTTATGATTCACTCAACAACCCGGATATTTAAGTCGCTGTTCTCTAGCACTTGTTTCTGGAAAGCTCAGAGGCTTGACGACAACGCGCACTGAGCCACTGAATAGCGGATTTTTACGCCTGATATGGTAGAAATTGGATGGTAATATGTATTACTAAAATCAGGACTATAAACATAGGAATGTGTAACAGGATCCTTTTGCACTACCGTCTATCAACGTGCTTTACAATAATGTTGTATGGTTCTTGTCTATATCTAGAAACTCGCAATTGCAGCCATAACATCTTCGAACAACTATTGATAAAAACCATTAAATAACTAAATGTTAATGTGATTTTTACACACTTTATTCAACCCGCGACTCAATAAAATACACGGTTTAGAGCTTTTTACGACCCGCGACTTTTTACCCGCGACCCGCGACTTTTTACCCGCGACATATTACCCGCGACACGCGACTTTTTACCCGCGACCATTAGTCAAACTCAAGCAGACACTGCTGCTGACAATAAAACTGTAAAAGTACATATAATCCCATCCGCTGTCCGTCGTTGCTCCGATTAGTTTATTTAAAAACACTGTTTCAGTTGCTTATTTCAGCAGCCACATTTTTTCTTCTATTATTTATTTATTTATCAATTTCTCCATTTTCTCTTTAGAATTGCGAAGATTTCCTGAAAGAATTTATGTATACTCCATGCTAGTGTGCCAAGTTATATTTCTTATTCCTAGTTTCCTACACAATATCACAACAATATTATATAGTTTGAAGAGGATTAAACCTAAATATGTCAATAGACCTTTCCGGTAATTACGCCACAGCTACATTGTTTTCAACTTAGGACCACCTTTATAAATGGTATGGATTTCAAGTTTTTTTCTTACTGGCTACGCGCAAAGCAGAACATCCTTCTTTAACACAAACATGAAAAATATATTTTTTTATTTTGACCAATAAATGTGAGACTAAGCTTTAACACGAAAACGAGGCCTCGTTTTCGTGTTAAAGCTTATTCCCGCATTTATTGGTCAAAATAATAATTTTTGAAAACAATGTAGTTGTGACGTAATCACTGGAAAGGTCTATTCCTGTGATTCACTGGTTGTGATATAGCTGCGTTTAATAGTGCTGGATAATATAAAATATAGTGTAAAATATTAGATATTTTGGCAAATTTTAAAATCTCCTCAATATTCTGGCTTCAAAATTGGCTGATTGTATACTAAAGGATACTCTATCCAGAAGAAGCGGTGCTATGCAATTGCAACCTCGTCCCCAGGGCCACGAGGTTGGCTGATTTTGATATATCTGCTTACAACTTAGGTTGTACTGTGTAAATTAAGGACATAACTCACGCACGTTGTCGTGGTTAAGGCTATGTTTACATTGTATCGGATCGGGTTTTGCTTCGTTCACGAAACGTTACGGCCCAAGTGTAAACAGCTTCCGCCCTCGTCCATCTAAATACAAAAATATTATAAGTGAGCAGGCTATACCGGCAAATAAGATTAGAATAGCAAGTCTTTGTTTCCCAGATGCTATCTTGAGTCACGTATTGAACCGAAAATTGCAATTCTCCGATTTGTGTTTACATTACAATGACAGCGTTGCAAAAAGCGATCCGATACATCGCGCACCACTTCGAAGAGCGAACGCCGCACCACCGGTCCGTTGCAGAAATTGAGACGATAACAACATTTCATATGTAAACAGAAGCCCTATCCGGTATGGTTTTTGCGTCGGACGCAAAGTGATCCGATACAATGTAAACATAGCCTAAGTTGTGTGCTTCATTCACACAATACAACTCAAGTGGTAAACAGGTCACGTGCGACAGTTTTAGGAAAAAGTCGGCCTTAAAACTTCAGATTTTCAAATTTGGTGACGTCATAGTGACAACAGATATGAGTACGTAACTTTTCAAAATACAACAAGCATTTTTACCAAACTGTACTTCAGCAAGAATAAATTAGGATACAAATTCACATTATGAATTAAAATGCTATTACAACTACTAAACTATAATCAGTATAATGTTCCATTGCCAAGCTATCAGCCCTTTCACTAAATTTCATACCGATATCTATCCAATTTAATATCAATGTTTCTAATAACAGAGCTTTCGTTGGTGCACAGGTTGGTGGGGATGCAACTACCTGCAAAGTATAAGGAGAAATTTAAAAGAGATACAGGTAGTTGCATCCATGACAAGAAAACCTTTGTTATTATTGGCACTGGCACAGACAGTTATGTGTGTTTTCCTGCCATGTAGAAAGCTATTTTCTTTTTTAAATACATCTATATGTCAAACACTGTAAGTAAACAACAAAGGAAATTATGGGCAAAATTTCATATCTTCGCCATCACAGACGGAAACCACTCAAAATACAGTAAATTCTTCGTTGTTTCCTCAATATACGTTTCTGTTTGTGGAAAACACCAAGTTTACTTATTTAACAAAGTTTTCTATCTGTATACTTCACCAAATAAATGCTATATTATCATCGAATATATTGACAATATTTGCACCGATGATAATCCTCGCCTCAGGCACAGAATGCTTCAGGATCGAAAGTTTTGTTAAATAAATCAACATGGTATTTTCTACAAAAATAGATGTACTTGAAACATTTCTCATGAAATCATCTGAGCCCACAAGTTTTATGAATCCAATCTGTCAAACACATGTATAGTTCCTGTGTGGTTTCGTGGACTTGTTTTTTTTTTATTCACATCACATTGCTTTAAACACTTTAGTCAAGTTTTACAATTTGCCAATGATTACTGATCTTGACAAGAAAAACACGCGTAAGCAGCGACCAGCCAACGGTTTTCGTCCATATCTTAAGACATCACTTTGCAGCCATTATCATCATCACCACCATCATCATTCAATCACCATTATCATCAACATCACCACCAATCATAACCACCATCACCATAACTAACATATCATAACCATCAACATCATTACTACCATTATCACAATCACCATTGTTACTATCTCACCGCTACCATCATAATCACAACCATCATCACTACATTACAATAACAACCACCACTATTATCATCACCATTATCACCACCATCACAACAGTGGAATCTCAATTATCATCACGACCACAACCATCACCGCAATTATCACCAACGGACCATCATAAAAAACCATCACCACCTACATCACCATCAGTAATACAGCATACTACTCTCCTCTTTAAATCACCAACACCATGAGAAGACTGACATCAGTCATAGTTATTCGGCGTATTGTTTCTTTCAGAAATGTATGTTCCACTAGCTTTTCACTGTCAAGACCTCAAACAAGGTTGCTTACAACTTGATATTTGATCGATGTTAAGAACCTGTAACTCTAGGTAGGGAGGCGAGGAAGTACTATCACTTGCCCAAGGTGAACTCCCAGACAAGCGGAGGGAAGGAGGTGTCTTACTTCTCCATTCTAGACTGGCTCCAAGCAAAGTCTAGCCGCTGCCCGAAAATTATCCGTTTGACGATGACTTACTAAAACGTTTCTCGTTGACAAAACGTTTTCATAACATCTTCAGTGCGTAGTATACGGTAATACTGGACGCTCATACCCCCGATCAAGTTTAAAACTTGCCGAGCTTTGCCATTTAGTAGCCGCCTCGCGTTTAGTACAGGACAACACCGAGCTTTGTGGAATGCATAGTCGAAGAAACTCCATATCGCCATTTATCTTAGGACAAGCTATCATGGTTTCGTTTGGAGAACGTTTTAGTTGTCCTAGCGAAACCCGTGTTAATTGTCGTTGAAAGGAACAGTCGAGACAAGCACCAGAGTCCATATCAAAAAATTTTAAAAAGCCACGTAAAACAGCAATGACAACTCTGTCCTTGTTGAGACAAAATAGCCTGCAACAACCACGGGTATCAAATCTTACACTTTTATGATCACCGGTCTCCAGGTCAAATATTTCACCGACGCTAATGCCAGAAACGTCCAAAACAACAGCGACTTTAGAATCGTTACTGAAGCAACATGAAGGAGATATCCAGTCTCGAGGACGTTCAAATGATTTAGTGAAAAAGACTTCATAGACATCCAGCTCCTCCTTGGCAATTCTTTTCCAAATATAATACGTATATTTATCAGCACCAAAGACAAAGGAAGCACCAGTCGAAACTGTAACACTCATTCCAAGCTTAATCCCAGGTAAGTTGACCATTCGCGGTTCCCCAACTCCGCTGACATCGAGAACTTTAACAGACTTCGTCTCTCCACACTCGAAGCTGAGTATGCCCTCTGAAAAATCAACAATTGCTGATAAGCATACAAACTCTTCCACTAAATGACACAGCGACACTTGCTGGCTTTCAGTGAATAGAACCTTTAAATTGATATCCATTGGGTATTTTGATAAGCTGGGAATCCTGTCAAAAAAATCAAACACGAACAAGAATTCTTTCGACCACCAACAAGCAAATGACGATTTGCCTTGATTGCTTTTGAAACGTTGTTCAACTTGGGTCGTATCGACATTCCAAATGCTGATACAACCATCTGAAGTACAGGTTGCAAGTCGGGAGCCATCAGGAGAAAACGAACACGAACAAACCCGTGGTAGGGGAGAACGTTGTTCTTGTGTTGGAGCTAATGTCCTAAAGACAAATAGTTTTTCCTCATTCGCAACGAACCACAGATCATTTTCAATCGCCGTTATTTTCCTGAAGGAGTGTTCTTGTCCGAAATAATCAGCTAGGTTCCAGACAGCAAGCGTGCTGAAATGAGTGTTTTCTATGACACTTAAAAGTTGCCCGTCCAATGCCAAAATGCACTCTACACCATTGTAGACCCCTGCTTCCAATGTGTATGGTTTGAATGCTAATTTTGTACAAGTGTCCAATTCTTTAAATCCTGGCCGGAAACAACGGTAACATAGCTTACTTTTATCCAGCATTACATCGGGCAAGTTTCGCTCATCGCTCCTTTGCCATGTAATGGCGTTCCAAACGCAAAACGTGTCTTGTTCCCGAACGCCCCAGATGACATTTTGTTCTTCTATCCAGTCTCCAAGGATAAACAAACCGGTGCTGCTAAAAGAGCAGCAATTAATAGCAACATCAGCACAAAGTGACGACAGCAAGCTTCGCTTGGCAACGTCCCATAACTTAATAGTGCGTGTACGGTCGCTAGTTACCAGCCTCTTGCCGTTCGGGGAAAATGCACACGACCTGAATTTCTCTTTATTTCCATGGAAAAATGGAACTTCCTTTCTTTCAGCAATGTCCAGAACTGTTTCCAGCTTTCCAAATAAAACGAACGAACTGTCTGGAGCAAAAGTACAACATGAAATACTTTGGTATTCAGTTGAATACGACCACAGCTCGACCAAACGTGGTACGGATATCACACGGATTGTTCCATTTCTTCGCGAAACGGCTGCCATTGTCTTGTCGTAGGACAAACCAATACCCATTACAAACTTCTCTAAACTGAAATACACATCTTTAGTATTCGTTACCGGTTTGCAATGGCAGACTGAAAGGGGCATAACTTCCACTTCATGAAAATTAAACTCAACAAATCGTGGGAACTTTGACAAAAGCGACTCTGCAATTTTCTTCTCGTTATCATTGAAATATCCTTCTGGAGAATGAGTAACAACGTTCTGCAAATAGTACAATGGAAAACTACTTTGATACGATGGTCGATACAATGTCCTCAGAAATTCGATGTCAGCGACATGCCACGAAATTTGTGCTCGTAGTTTATCATCTATGTCCACAGCACCTTGAAGAATTTCGACCCAAATTGATAATAAACGATTTCCCGAAAGTAAGAAGAATTCAGTTAAAACAGCGTGTATGATTACAACATCTACCAACCAAAAGAAACTTTCTCTCATCTTGCACGTTACTAGATGTCGAAGACCATAATGCACAGCGTACTTCACGTCATTAGTTAAGTTTAAATCATGTCCCGAGCAAACAGACTTCTTAATGTCTTTAAAAATTTGTTCGCAGATTAGCCAAAGAGATCTATTTCCATCACTGAGCTTGACAGTATATTCATGATCTTTGTAGTCTTCTGCAAGAAGCCAATCAACAACGGATTTGTGAAAAACGGTCACCATATCATCAGAAACGTAGAGCAAGCACGATATCGTCTCATTGACGTTGTTGATAATTTTCCTTGTTTCACGACAATCTCGAGCCAAACCAAGAGCCCGGGTGACAAACGCGAGGGGAAGAGGTCCTTCAGCAGCCACTAGCATTTCCAGTATTTTCAATACATCAAGATTCTCAGGAATTATCGCTTTCAGCTCGTCTTCGAGACGTTTAACATATTTCATGTAAACGGAATCCAGGGCTTTTGGGAGAAAGTTTATAATCTCGTCAATCGTCATCTTATCAAGATCATCGCGTTTTCCCAGCTCGAATTGAATGTAAAACGCATACAGAAATGAACCCTCGCATTTCTTAGCAAGCGCATAAAACATACTATCCTCTAGACTTGGAAGGCTAGCTTTGAGGTAGAGTCGAAGATCTGATTTATTATCGGTATCGCCAATTGCAATATCAATTTTTTGAACACCAGTGAGTTTTGCTACGGAAATTACCGGCCTGCTCGTCGCTAAGACCTTGATACACTCGGGAAGATCTGAAAAATAATCAGCAATCAAATTCACAATTTCATTTTTATCATCTGTTTCACTTTCATCCAAGCCATCGATCACGACTAAACTGGGTTCTTCTAACTCCAATTCATCAAGGGGGTTTTGCAAGAATATTGTAAAGGCACTTTTCAGGCTTCGGACTTCAGGATGGGGTCGCCTTAACTGATCAAGAAGCTTCTCTTTAAAACCCGCGATATTTTCACACATCTGACTTGCAAGGGACTGCAGCATCGTCATTGGGTCTCTTAGGATTGGATTACTGAAGTCACAAAAGTGACAAGCTGCCAACTTTCCTTTCTTCTTAAATTCTTCACAGACGTCAGCAGCAAACACACTTTTACCAAACCCAGGACCAGCTGTTAATAACAACATTCCCGATTTTTGCTCATTTCCGACAAATTCATCAACTCGTTTTAATAACCACTTTCTCGTGCCAGGATGGAACAACTCGACTTTACGTCTAATTTTACTCTTGAAATTAAGCTTTGCGAGTTTTCGCAAGAGATCTTCGTCACTCTTTTTGCTGCAATTTCGTTCAAGATTATTATCCTTAACAACGGAATTTTGGATGGCTTGGATATCACTTCGTTGCTCCAAAACTGACTGATAGAGTTGTTTTATTCCGTCGCGGCTTTCTTCAGCAATTGATACTACCACTCCTAGCATTTTCATACTCTCTTGTTCTTGTGATTTCCATTTATTAAGTATTTTCACATATTCTTCTTCTTCAGGCCCTAAAGGAGAAGTTTTTAAATCATCGACATCATTCTGTGGAATGTTCAATTCTACCAAAGCCTGGGAAATTTTTTGCCATAAAGATTTAAATGTTGTATTATCCACTTGAGTTGCCGTCACGTGCGCATAAATTTCATTTCTAAGGAACTTGAGTCTTACGATATTTGCTTGCATTGATCTGTCCGTGTCCGGAGGCATTGCACTCCATCCTGTTGATGGTAAGCCACAAATGTTCCGAAACAGAACTGTAAGTAATGTAACATCAAAGGTTTTCGAGTTTGGCGGGTTACCGGATGGAGGGAACAGTAAATTCCACTGGGAATTATAAATAACTCGAGGTTTTAACCTTAGAAGGGATGTTCTGTTGGCATTGAGAACTCCCGGTAGGTTGGCAGGAGGATGTATGGCATCAAATGTATGTCTCAAAGCTTCAGTTCCTTTGTCAACCAAAAGTCTACTGAGTCTTGTAAAATTTGCCTTTTCTTGCAGGTCAACAGAAGCCATAACACTGCATGAGTTTACTGCAATATAAAGGATATCTTGGATAAGTTTTGCCTGGGCAAAGGGGCGGAGACAGGGATGAGGGTTATTAAATTCTACGGTGTTCCATTCCCATTTCAAGATCTCTCCAGTAATAATGCACAGTCCATCTGTTGCAAGGAAATCAAAGCCAGAATCAGTATTCTAAATCATCTTAGACTAAGAATCTTAATCTGCTGCCAGGTTGTTTTAATTACACCAGGTATTCATCAGTTGAACCAAATGAAATTCTCAGAGATTTCTAGTTTGGACTCTTACTTAACTTCTACCTCATATATTAATACTTTCAGTCTCTCTTGGTGATAGTAGAGTTTAAGTTCTACTTACGATACCAATACCGATACTAAGTCACCACTACCGAAGTCGGCCTTGTTTTGGAAGTCGTGGGAATTGTAAGATAAACTCGTATAAATCGAATATTTCATAATTTTTACGATAAACTCGTAAACTATTTGTTTATTAGCATCGCCTGAGTCATGTTTGAGTCGGAATTTTAGCTCAGCTGCCGTTTAGTATATCGCACATTTTCGGTGACGATTAATGTGTTCTATACTTTATCTGTCGTGATAACTTAACGCTTTAAAATTCCCGGTACCAAAATGAAAACGGAAGTGAAGACATCGGTATCGGTATTGGAAGTCGAACTTAAACTCCCCAGTTTTTTATGTAGGAAGCAACAAGAGGGAGGGCAGAGGGGCCAAGGCTAGCCCAATTTAATAGAATAGCTTTAATTTCATTAAAGTATTTGCAGCAAAATTATATATGCAGGAGCAATTGCAAATTTACATATTATAAATATGTCTTTTTTTACCACCAGAATTTTGCGAAATCTTCCTCCCAAAGTAAAGAAAATCGCATTTTCAGAGACTCAAGATTTCTGGGAAGAGGTATATCCCCATTCCCCCATATGCATCCTCGTTTTCATGTGTGCCAGCATAGAGTTTCCAGAAGAATTAATTCCGTTCAGCTGCTATTCAAATGTTAACATAGTCATACGAAAACCTAATATTTAAATAACAATATTGCTCTACATAATGTCTACATGTACAACAGGGCGCTTAATTGTCAAATCCTTTTCAAAGCCAACCTTTCTGAGAGCCAGAGTGCACAATGCCCAGGCAAAGTTTTGATTGAAGATTCGACTGGTTCCAGTCTGCTCTAAAAAACCTTTGACACATTGACTTAAAGAATCACAGTCAACCGTAATGCTTCGCACGCTATGTAAATGTTTAAATATATGGGCAGCTAAAAATAGTGTTGTCTTCATAAACTAAAAATGATATACATAAGCTTTATTATCAACAAAAAAACTTTAATACATTTACTCGCTGGTGTTTTGATGAAATCTTGATTGCTGCCCCTTCGCCTGCTATACACGTTCACGCAGTTCGTCCATGCTTTGATGGAGCAGGTTTTCGGCGAACTCGCTATGCAAAAGCCCCCGTATTCCCAGGCTTTCTTTCCTTTCCGTCCAAATTCCGTCCAAAGGACCTACCGTTGAACTTGTCAACGATATTTTTTTTGGATATACCCTTACTTATTGGTCTTCCAAGAACGGGAAATACAGAAGCTATGATTAGAGCGATTAACCATGTACTTTATAAAATAAAAAAACTTTCTAAAATCATTGGTTAAGACAAACACAAACGCCAAAAAATTCAATCAATGATCTATTAACACATTCCAACTATGAAAAATATGACATCGTCTAAGAATAATGTAGATTGATAAGGATATGCTTCGAATGTCAATCTTTCTTCGATAAAATGGCGGAATACAAAACAATCAAACCATTTTAGCACGCAAAGCATCACGGTTGACTGTAATTTTTTAAAACAACGTCAATTCTAGCTTCATGTGCAAGGATCTCTCCTTGAAGAATAAAATCATTTGTCATGAGAAAAGGCAAAATCAGGGCAAATCAGGGGCGGCGGAACTATGAGGGAAGCTGCCAGGGTAGCACAGCAGGTCCAGAAAATATTTTTCTCTTCCTGGCAGCAAAATCCCAAAATAAAAATTTCCTAAGTCAAATATAAAAATTCCTGGGGCCAGTTGTGTTAAAAGTGATTAAATTTAACTATGATTAAGTGCATTTAGTTAACCAATCATCACAAAAAGTGATTAAAAAGTTATTAAAAGTTTTATACAACCAGCCCCAGCATATGTAGATTTCGGAGAACATATGGCGCCGTAGATCGTGATAACCATAGAGATTATAAATAACACTAGAGGAGGCATCGAGTTTAAAAACTGGGAACGCAGCTAATGGGGGGCAAATTCAAGTCCCGGATATAAAATCGAGCTCTCATTGGCTGATTTGAAACTCGTCACCAATGGGAACACGAATACACATCCGGGACTTGAATTTGCCCCCAATAATCGCGTTCCCTTTTTTTACTGAATTAAGATTACAATGCCTCCTCTAGTGTTATTTATAATCTCTATGGTGATAACTTCAATGTCGGCACAAGACAATATTGGACGTGCAAAACGCTTTTGTAAACAATAAGTAAATTATATGGCATTCCAGTATATAGGATGACAAAACTTCCTGCAGGATTTCCTGTGAAGATATTTTGTCAACAATTTCCTGGCAGCGGTGCCGCTGGGGCTGCCTGACATTTTCCAGCACAGGGCAGCAGGTTCCTTTTTTACAACAACTACATTTCGAAAGTCATGCTTTGTTCACGTGAATTGAAATTGAAAACTGTTTTCAAGCAATTTAACTCAACTTAGAATCTGAAATTCCTCTCAGAAACGTCACCAACGTTTCTACCTTTATGAAAAAAAGTCTTCCTAAATAGTTGAGAAGCTGCCATGTTGTTTTACAATACATTGTAGTCTTTAGCGTCATGCAAGAAATAAAATTCTTCCAAACAATACCGAGATTTGTCCAACTATATTGGCTGCAAGAAATCGAGTATCTGTACAGCAAACGTTTTAACGAACATTGCTGCCCACAAAAATTAAGGCTTAGAAGTTAGTTCCCTTTTTAAATGGCTTCCCCAGCCACTTCATGTTGCGGCACATTATGGCATGTTGCTGCTTAATGGGCTAATAACTTCAAGGACACTGATGAATAAAAACTTTGGTCTTCAAATTACTATTTTTACTTTGTCATGAGAATTGTTAATATGACAACAAAAACTTTAGACTGTAATGGAAGCACAGAACTTTGAAAGTTTTGTCTGAGAAAATGTTTAAACAATAACCCATTGGGCACCAGTGCTCTCCACTTGACGAGTAAAATTGTCTGGTATTACACAGAGTAATGTGTTAATACAACAACCGATCATCACAGGAATCAGTTTAATAGCACTACAATTTATCAACCAGAAAAAATCTGTGTAACATAATTTTGGAACATTCACTAGGTAGGCCCTCGGCTCTTGCTTTACACCTAGAACATATCCAACCTCCACCCCAATATATGGATACTGTTATCCAACCTCCCCCCATGTGTGCAGTTGGGTTCCTCCCCAACCCTCCTTCTGACACTTGATTTTTAATCAAGTAGATGAAAATTTGTCAGAAAGATGGGTTGACATCACTGCCCAATTCCTCTGCATTCTTAGAAACTCAAGACAAGTCATCTTGTTTCGGTTTTTTTTTTGGGGGGGGGGGGCAATTCAGACAAGCCTCTGTCAAGCATCTTTTGATGGTGGAAATAGAGATACTGTCCCCAATGTGCACTTCCATATTCATTTCTGGAGCACTATTACAGGGATACAAAAACACATCTGTCATCTCTACTTATGGCCGATATTTTTCTGTCAGGCGTTTGGAAACCTGTCATCCTGTCTCTGCTTCTTTTTTGGCCATCTCTACCAGGTCTCCACAGTTGTAAATAACCCTATGAAATAACCTACTGTATCTGGAACAACACAAAGAACTATTCCTCAATCTTCTGGAAAAATCCTTGGCTTTTAAACCATGCATGATTTAAAATCTTTCTTGAGATATTTTTCATGTGTGTTGGCAATCCCTCTATCGAGTAAGATGTCCACTTGGTTAATGTACATTGTCACTGTTCATTGTTTATGAGTTTGTTGATGGTTATATAAACGCTATATATATTGAAAGACACGTACGTAGACAAACAGGGCAACTAAACTCTGTTGTGGTTGGACTCACTGATTCAACTGATCTATTTGGAATGACTATAGATAATAAGCTTAGTTTTGACGATTACATTTCCAAAATTTGTAAAAAGATTAACAATCAATTTCGTCAGATGTTGTCAGCTACAAAATTGCTAAGATTATATAAGGCGTTCATACTTCCACATTTATATTATTGTTCAACCGTGTGGTACTTTTGCGGTTCACGCAATACTGATAAATTGGAAGCGTTAAATAAGCGTATTCTTAGATTTATTCACAATGATAGGGATTCTTCATATTGTAAGTTGTTGGAAAAGACTGGGACGCCGTCAATTGTATGATAGAAGAATACAGAGTATTAGTCAACTCAGTATATTATTCAATTGCTTGTACCTCATATCCAAGTTATTTAAAAGATATGTTCAATTTAAGGTCTGTATATCCTATTTTTCAAGACGTACAGATATTTTGAACTTACAGTACCTAAATGAACCTAAATGTAATTGTGTAATACTACTTCTTTTGCTCTTTGAAACTCCCTACCGGATAGTTTCAGACAATCTACTACTTTTAGTGACTTTAGAAACAAAATACGAAATTTGAATTTTTCATAGTAAAATTCATTTATTGATATATAAATGTATATGTATTAGTTAATATATAGTTCTCAAAGATATTTGTTAAAATTAGCTACACTGTAAATTCGAGGGTAAATAAAGTTTATGTGTGTATGTAATATGTATGTACTGTATGTATGTGTGTATGGAGATGGGTTAACAGCGTGTTGTCTCACTTTTCTTGCTGTTCGGAGTTGCTCATTATGCTCCTTCCTCAATTGTCTTAAATTGTGTATGTATAACGTCACTGCATGCTCACTTGGATTATCCACAGAACTCGGCATTCTACTGTAGCTCAACCAAGTGAAGTGCCGTGAAGCTAGTGCCGTCGAGATACCATCTTAAGTACGACACTCCCGTCAAGAGAACCAATGCCCAGAAAGATCTTGGAGTGATCATCACATCCGATTTGAAATGGAACCAGCACGTGTCCATGGTATGTGCCAAAGCAAGCAAAATGCTCGGCTTCATTAAAAGATCATCAATGGACATTCGCAACGAGAAAACCCGCCTTGCGCTTTACAAGACAATGGTGCGAAGCCAGATGGCATATTGCACACAAATTTGGTCACCACAGTCGGTATCATATCATACAAAGATAGACTTGTCAAAAGTGGTTTACTACCATTAACATACTGGCATGAATTCCTGGATATGGTCTACCTTTATACAAAGCGTTAGTTCTATCTAATGACCATAATATCCATGTAAAGACAACAGATCGGTTGACGAGAGAAAATGATGGAACAGCAAAAAATATATTACAAGTTCCTAGAGTAAACACTTTAACATTTCAGAACAGTTATTACTGCAGATCACCCAGGACTTTTAACTGTTTACCATCACACTTACGGCAGTCAAATCTCTCAATCAGTCAATTTAAATGCGGTCTATTTAAATATTATATTTTATTTACCAAAAACTTGTTGAACAGGTCTATACGACATTGATGTTCCACAAACGTTTAAAACAGTGTGTGTAAAGTGTCACTTGTGTCGTCCCTTGTCCAGTCTTTCTGTCAAACTGTGTTGTCATTAGTTGCTGTTAACCCAGTGGAAATATCACTTTGTTAGAGAGCATGTGAAATTTAAATTAAATTCCTTTTTTCGATCCACATGATTAGAATTGCTCAGGACCACATTAAATCAAACGTCTCAGTGACTAGCGATTTTGAAGCGATATATCCACTGCGTTAACCTATATTTCAGTATTGCATTAGCAGGTTACCCGTAAAGGAGCAACTAGCTCTGTGGGTTAAACCGGTCATGTGACAAAGATTGCAAAATAAAATATATATGTACATCTTTCAAACTCACCTAATCACAACCCGCACACCTGAAAATCTAAATAACATGAACTTACGGTTACAGCTCAACAACTGGCCTCAGTTGGTTGGAGCGCTGCACCAGAATCGCAGGTTCAATTCCTGCCAGAGGATCTAGTGCTGTATTTTTCGCAAGCGTTCCTGGTTAAATATGTATATATATGCTCACTTGGATTATCCATCAAACTCAGCATTCTACAGTATTGAAGTCTGTTATTTAAAATATATGTTAATTGTACTTGTTTTTATTCATTACACTAATAAACTACAAGGCAACATTAAGAAAGCGTTTTGTAAAGAGGCTCAGACAAAATTTTGTCTTAAATATGATCATAAAGATCATGTTACACCAAGATGTCATGGTGAATTTCCAACAATCTATGTGTACTTCAATGTTTAAGAGCGACTGTCCGTAAAAATCGAGCAAAATTTGAATTCTGCGGCAATACATGAAAAATAGATTTCGTTCATATTTTGCTCAAATTAAGGTAATACCTAGTTATAAATGGTGTTTGGGTTAGATTTTCAACATTTGGTCGATAAACGTACAAATATCAGAAATCAAGAATTTGTCTCCAGGAGGCTATAATTAGCCGCAGACAAAGCCGCTGCCATGGTCAATTTCATCACTTCGCGACAGATTCAAAACTGCCCGTAGATAGTTTTGATGGTATAATGACTATAATTCAAGTATTAAAGAACAATATTATCAATATGGAATGGCACAGGAGGCTTTAGCTGGCCTGACAGACGTTGTTGAAATTGGCTATTTTTAGTCAAATTTGAGAATTGCATTTTGTCACTGGATTTGAAGGGGAAATTTACTATGTGCGATAATCGTGAATTTGTTTATATTTCATCCACGGAATGGTATAGCATGAGCACATGTTATATATAAAAACTAGCTTGGGTTATTGCCTTGGAGCCTCACGCGAGACTTTTAAAAAAGCTCATTTTGGTGATTTTCAGTGGAATGCAACACAATTAAATCATTAGGCCTGCATACGTCTATACCAGAGTCACGAAGCTCAAATTGTTCAAAACTTTGAATTTTGTGTTTCGATATCAATGTATATGCTTTGTATACTTTATAAAGAGTCGTTTAGAAAGATTTTCAATATATTTTAGTGATAGGCCTACTTACAACAAAAGCACAACAAATCATCATAATTATCATTAATTTAACTAGACTGTATAACGTTGCTATTTATAGCAATTCGCGTGTTGTTACTGAATGCATGTATATTTAATATGTCTGCAGTCTGTAAGCTTTTGAAGTCTTATAATTTCTCATCAGTTTAATTTAATGCTTTCTCTGCATATGTAAACTAATAGAATTAAAGCTAGGTAAATACAATAAAAGTACATAAGTTGAAAGGTTAATTTGCTATGTGCGATAATCGTGAATTTTTTTATATTTCGTCCACGGAATGCTATAGCATTGATACATGTTGTGTATAAAAACTGGCTTGTTTTATTGCCGTGGGGCCTCACGCGAGACTTTTAAAAAAGCTTATTTTGCGGTAGTTCAGCCGACAGTCAGGTAGTCTGTTTCAGACCATGTTACGATATAAAAGACTATAAAATAATATAAAAACAAGTTGACATGCAAAGATGAGTTTAGTTCTTAGATTATTTACAAAGCAAATCTATATACCTATGAATATATAAATAATTTTAAAATGTTTGTTAGTGGAATCTGGGAAATAAAAGCAATGCCAGTGTTGAGCGCTTTATAATGAAAAACTATAGCTGTCAACTGAATAACAACTGTATAAAATTTATAGCTGCCTCACTGCTCGTATATATATATATATATATATATATATATATATATATATATATATATATATATATATATATATATATATATATATATATATATATATATATATATATATATATATATCTATATGGGCAAGATAAAAAATTAACCCAAGTTACTGTGGGAAGCAAATCATACCCATGGCTTAAACGGTAACGAGATTTATTAAATGTGTAATAAAGAATTAGTTTGGCGCGGATCAGACGGTTGAAAATTGGATTCCAAACTAGCACGCTTGCACATGAATAAAATTTATTTCCTGTAATTTATTTTGATCCACATTGTTCCTGTTTCCCAAACTGTTTGCGCAGTTATTAAAATTTTTAGTCCATAATTCAGAATTTTGATAAGGGCTGTTTAGATCCATTTTTGCCGGGACGTGACGTTAGGCGGGATCACTTTGACGTCGAATTGAAATAAACCACAATATTCAGCAAAACATACACTATATAAAACAATTAATACTAGTTATAATATAGAGCATGACGAGAAAACAAAATGATTGGATAATGTTAAAAAGGAAACGGGTGGTAGCCATGTTTTGTTTTAGGTACACTCTCAAAATATATTCAAGCACGCTTTTGTCGCTTTTTTGTATTGACTATTGTGGACATTTTTTCGTCAGGCAAACACGATAAGTAGTTTTTGGACAGCTCTACAAGGCCAGCCTGCATGCTTATGAGCGCGCATGAGCAAATCAATATTTTGCAGCTGAGAATGATTTTTCACCCAATTTTAATCTGTAATTAATTACGTTTTTAGAAATGTAACGAAAAACGTAATTAATAATTACAAAAGCAAGGA